AATGATATATGCAGGTTGATTTTTAATTATCCTGGACCAAAGCCATGAGGTGGTTGATGAAGATGGGCAAGGGGTAGGGAGACTTAGAGGGGGATATTCTGAATGACCAGGGAGAGTATTCTAGGCATTAAGCCTCAGCAGATGCTTTCCTTCCCCTGTTCTCTGGGTTAACCTCATTTCTGGGCTCCATAACCCCGGGATATGTCTGGATACTGGGGGCCTTGTGTGAGCCATGCTATATTATACTTTTACCAAAGGTGGCCATGCTATCTTATACTCTCACACAGAAGTTTGGCTCTAAGGTATGGGGAGAGGAAGCCTTAGCATTAATTGACCCCTCTAGTTATGAGATTCATGTTGTAAATTCATACCTGGAAGACGGGGCCTTCTCTGAGAGGGGTGCTCACCAGCATTGTTCCGCATAGCCTGAGTTTGGGGATGATAGAAAAGCTCTGTTGGCTGTGGGTTTGGTCTCTTCTCACAACTTTGGACATTTTATCACCTTCCTTAAGGGCCATTCTAATCGCCAGGCGTCACAGTTCATCATCTCCTTAACTCCGATAAAACCTCAACGCTGGACTCATTTCTGATCTCTTTTCATAAAGATTAACGGGCATGCAATATTTAGCTTCTCTCTCTCTTTTTTTTTTCTCCTATGTCTGAAAAGTTGTGATAACAAAAACAACAGAGGCTACAGGCTTGTTTGAAGTTAATTATTTTAAATGAGCAAAGAAGACCAAGCACCTTAGAAAGAAAATGGCTCAGGAATTGGAAGGAAAGCATTATGCCCTGCTCCAGTTGGTTGGTATTTGGCTCTTTTAATTTTTCTCCTGAGTGCCATAAGTGCCGTTGAGCTCAGAGGATAGAGCATCCTGTGCGGAAAATAGATGGTGTGTGGAGGAGGTGAGGGGCGCCTGCAGTTGTTCTCTGAATCCCTCAGTAAGCTCCACTTGGCTACATTATATCAATAGAAACAGTCAAAGGCTGGAAAACAAGCTCCACTTGGCCAGCTTCCAGCACTCTTCACAAAGCTCAAGGAAAAGCTCAGCGAAGCCACACACTTTTTGTTTTCCTGAGCAAAGACTCTGCCTGTTGCTGTCAGGGTTAAGGAGTTTCAGCGAGTTGTTATACAGACATAAAAATGTGCTTTTTTTTTTTTTTGCTTTTTTTCTTCTTCCCTCTATCACTGAAAAGAGCCCAGTGATAGAATCAGAAGGATGGGCACATAGATGCCAGGTGGATCAATCAGCTCCTGGAGAGGTGTTGGTGCAGTGACAAAATTGTGGGGCGAGCGCGTGTGTGTGTGTGTGTGTGTGTGTGTGTGTGTGTGTGTGTGTGTGTGTGTGTGCGCGCGCGCGCGCCTCAGAAGCATGGATTTGTGCATTTCAGGATTTCCTACTTTGACTAAATAGGGCAGAAGGTACACCATCTCCATCCCTATGAAGACATGTCTTTATCATGAGGACAATGTAAACACCATGTCAGTTGTGATGTATGGAGAGACAGGTAGGTAAGGCGGAAATGACAACAGTGTCAGGACTATCAACAGCTGCAGTGTTTTTCTTTCCCCCCCAAAAAATCATTTTCAGGAGAGAAGTAAAGCATGGGCTGTTTCTTTGTGAGGGTGATTTGGCTGCTCATTGGAGCAAAAAGGCCATTTATGACCTGACCGGGGCCTTTCTTTGGCCTGACATACCACGTTGTGTTTATTTCAGAACTGGAGAGTCACACTGAGTGGATAGCAACAGGAAACAAACCCGGAGTCATTGCAATTTACATTTACCAGTGCAGCTTTTCTTTAGCTGCTGAACTTTGTTTCTTTTCTAGGGAAAAAAAACACACCTATTTTTAGCTCTCATATGCTTCTCCAAAAGAAACTACTATCCTTAAGACATTCTACCTTACTGAAAAACTTATAATTTTCTCATTCGTAATTAATGTTTTCCTAAACTGTCATTTTCCTTAAATTTTCCTAAAATATAATTATAATAAATGGGGATACTGGAATACTGTGTACCAGACAAGTATTATTTAGCAATGCTCTTCCGTTTAGAATAACAGCATATTTTCTCTTTCAGGTTTTCACTTTTATTCTAGTGGGACTAGAAATCAGCTTTTTTTTTTTTTTTTTTTTTTTTTTTTTTTTTTTTTACTATCTGATTGCAATATATGATTAAGAATCAACTGATCAGCCGAAACTGGTTTGGCTCAGTGGTAGAGCGTCGGCCTGTGGACTGAAAGGTCCAGGGTTCGATTCTGATCAAGGGCATGTTCCTTGGTTGCGGGCACATCCCCAGTAGGGGGTGTGCAGGAGGCAGCTGGTCGATGTTTCTCTCTCATCGACGTTTCTAGCTCTCTATCTCTCTCCTTTCCTCTCTGTAAAAAATCAATAAAATATTTAAAAAAAAAAAAAGAATTAACTGATCAAATAAATGTGAGAATAGATTTAGAAATTAATTTAAAAATTATCCTGATGCTAATGGAGAAATCTGTGATGATTACTCTTCTAAATACCTTCAAAAAGAAAACCCAACAGCCATGTTTAACTTGAGCTGTCACTTTGTATTTAACAAGGGGGGAAGGTAGAACAAGTAAATTTTAGATGATCTCACTAGAAAGAGAAATCTGCTCAAATTCCATGACCAAGTTTGTGACCACTTGACACAGGATAGCATGACTCAAGGTGCCTTCACAATATACATGGTTCTGCTTGGGAACCACATATGTGTATAAAGACATTTAAATCAGTTGCTTGAATGGAGTGACAAAGTGGTCCTGCTTCAGCCTGAGGAAGCAGCGCCACCTACTGCTTGAGCTTTAGTTATGGTTGAGCATTCTTTTTAGAAAACTGATCTTTACAGACCTAAGCACAAAGTATTGGTCTGGTGTTATCTTTTAAGATTTACATTGGAGCCGAAACCGGTTTGGCTCAGTGGTGGAGCGTCGGTCTGCGGACTGAAAGGTCCCGGGTTTGATTCCGGTCAAGGGCATGTACCTTGGTTGCGGGCACATCCCCGGTATGGGGTGTGCAAGAGGCAGCTGGTCGATGTTCCTCTCTCATCGACGTTTCTAGCTCTCTCTCTCCCTTCCTCTCTGTAAAAAATCAATAAAAAATATATTTAAAAAAAAAAGATTTACATTGGAGTGAGTTTATTGAAATATTTGTTTTGTGTGTGTGTGTGTGTATGTGTGTGTGCATGTTTTAGTCTATACATTCATATTGAGAATAATTATTAAATAAAAGAATGGGAGAGAAAAGAATATAAATATGAAAAAAATGGGAATATAAAGTATTCATTATTGGTGTCTTATTCTGAAACTAAGTGATGTTGTCCATTTGCTTTTTTATGTGTAGTCATCACATAGGAATCAATAGATAACCAAACTTGTTTAAATTGAACCATTTTTCATGTTTATCCTAGTTTGCCCCAAAGTAAGCCTTTTATTAAATGATTACGGATTTATTAGGCTTTCATTGAGTTCCCCTTTATATAGTGTTTTTATTCAGAGCACAACAATTAATTGTACAATATTTTAAATAACTCCCAATGTTCCTAATATATTTTTGTCATAGCATCACATAAACATTTACAAGAGCATATCTTTTTATTAAGTTGAGGTCACTAATTACATTTCCAACCATTTTTGTTTATTTCATTTAGTGTATTACACCACAGCTTAAATAAGTGACAGTAGATGGGACAAATTGATTATTATTGTTTTCTCATTTCCTATAACTCTTCCAAGGTCTTAACTGCTATTGACCACTGACATTAATTATGGTGAAACTTACACTTCCATGCTGAGAAATCCATATCATTTCAGATCCTGATTCATAATTAATTTTTCAACATACACCCATTTCTTTAAATCATATATATAGTACTATATATATAGTACTATATATATATATATATATATATATATATATATATATAATTGATTTCAGAAAAGAAGGGAAAGAGATAGAGAGATAGAAACATCAGTAATGAGAGAGAATCATTGATTGGCTGTCTTCTGAACATCCCTACTGGGTGATAGGGCTTGACCCCACAACCTGGGCATGTGCCCTTGGCCTGTGTCAAACCTGGGACCCTTTAGTTCCCAGGTCAATGCTCTATCCACTGAACCAAACCAGCTAGTGCAATTTATTTATATTTTAATAGAATATCACACAGCCCAGAATTTTTAACTTTTGACATTTGTTAGGACTTTGATTTTCTAACACATTGAAAATCATAACTATGTCACATGCCAAAGCCATAATTTTATAATTGAAACACAGTCAAAATCTAGGCATATGAAAAGTACAGCGGGTTCCAATTTTGTGTCTTGGTTTGAAAAGCAATCAGCTCAAATTCCAAAAACTGTCAAAAACGTGATTTTCTCATGCTTGTCATTATCTTAAAAGGCTTTTCTTATATATATTTTAACATTAAATGAAAACTGATTGAATACCTGTTATATGTTAAACACCAAACTAAGTTCTGGAGACTTAGTAATTAAAAAATCAATCCCTTGTCCTCAGTGAGCTCCTTTTCTTGCTGAGAAATAGTGCATGGGTAGTTCTAGAACAGTGACAAAAAGTTGCTATGGGCAGGAAAAGAAGTGGAACTCAACTCAAACTTTGGTAAATGGGTTGTGTTACTTATGCTAGTTAGGGGGAAATCCTGTAAGAGAGAAATACTGAATTGAGCTTACAGGTAAGATGAAGTGTTTGTCAGGAAGGGAAGTAGAGGAAAGGTGTTTCAAGTAGAGACAAGATTTGCAGAGCCATTGAGATGCAAGAGGACAAGTTTTAGGAAACGTGTTGTTCAGTTCACTGAGACTGTTCATCTGGCGTTCAGAGGGGATATTTCAATTGGAGATCTTCAAATCTAAGCTTTGTGAATCTTTAATAATATGTATAACTTGACTGAGGAAAACAACCAATTGGTTCTATCTTGCAAAACCTTCCGTCACTTATCCCACTGTGTTTACACCCTTTTATCCCCTCCCAGAGGACTGGTATGAACAGTTGTACCCCCTCATCCTTACCTTGAAGGACAGCATGGGGGAAGTGGTGAACCGAGCCAAGCAATCCCTGACCTTCGTGCTCCTTCAGGAACTTGCCTACAGCTTGCCTCAGTGTCTGATGCTGACTCTGAGAAGGGACATCGTCTTCAGCCAAGCAGTAGGTGCCCCTTGTGTTGTTAGCTGCTATCATTGGTGAAGAGAAGGGTCTCTCCTGGACGGTTTTATTTTTAAAGGGATTCTTTCCTGTTAGTTTTGGTACCCAGTTTTTCTTATTCATAACTAGAGGCCTAGTGCATGAATCCAGTGGGATTCCTCGGCCTGGCCTGTGCCCTCTTACAATCTAGGATGCCTGGTGGGATGTCGAAGAGCTGGTTTCAACCTGATCTCTGCAGGCCAGGCCAAGGGACCCAACCAGTGTGTGAATCCATGCACCGGGCCTCTTATATGCATATAAGATTGTTGGTTAATCTCTTCCTGTCCTCTCCCTCACTCTTCTCTCTGAGATTCATCAGTCTGTTCTGTGTTTCCATGCCTCTACATTGAGCCCCTTGGTGCTCATTGTGCATCATAGCTACCAGCTGGTCAGCCAGTCACCTGGGCTTTTATATATAGTGATATGAACCAAAAAGTACATAGAAACAGTTTATAACACCTTAGTGTTTATTTCTGCAGAGGTGGCCAAGTCTCTGAAAGGTAGATGTAGAAATTTCAGAGCAGAGAGTCTGTGAAGGAAAGGGTCACCCATGCTGTCATCATATCATGCCTTGGGGTCTCTATAGGGCACAATGGAAGGAAAGTTGCCTTGCACTGCAGGTGGCCAACAAGGACTGGCAAAGGGGCCTATTTGCAACCCACTATTTATATAGCTCCTTCATGGATTCTGGGATGGGGCCTCATTGTGTTCTCTTCTTTTGTATGTAGAGTAAATTGGCCAGCAGGAAAGCTTGAACACGAGGTTTGACAGGAGCACCTCCTTTGCCTACACCCAACCAGATTCCATGATACCAAGGCCAGCCTCCATCACAGTGGCTGTGCGAGGGGCCTTCCTTCTCCCCTCCTGCCTCCACCCCATGAGTTTTATAAACAGCCACAGGGAGGGAAAGAGACAGAAGGCCTCTCTTTCTAAACATTTAAGGCCAATGGAATATTTTAACCAAACTGCCCTTGTCATGGATGCTCCAGTGACAAATGTGCTCTGACTGATACACATTTCCTCATTGAGTATTTTCAATGATTCTATGAAATGAGTAGTCTTCTATTCTGTGTGTGCAAAAAGTATTTTTTTAAAATAATAATATCTGTACATTTTAAATAACTTTTATTTAAATGGTAGAGACAGGATTTGTAGTCATGTCAACCTGACTCAGAGCCCATGCTCTTCCCTCTTTCACAACACTGCCTGCCCCAAGCCTTACTTGATCAAAGACTGCCAACTGGTTTCAACATAGATATATAAATAGAGTTTTGTGATACGTACTTGAACTTTTTAAATTAAATCTCTGATGCCTCAGAAGTCCTCAATACTTTTAAATTAAAGTTTGCTGACCCCCATCAATTTCTTCAATTATTATTTATTTTTTTTTTAGCTTGCTGGATTGGTCTGTGGTTTTATCATCAAATTACACACAAGTCTGCATGACCCTGGCTTCCTACAGCAGCTTCACACGGTGGGATTGATAGTACAATATGAAGGACTGCTAAGTACATACAGTGAGTATGGATGGTCGGTACATGTGAAAGTCATACTCCTACTCATAGGATATTTGGTCCTTGGATTCCTCAGTTAAGCATGAAAATGAAAGTTAAACTTTATTGCATCAAGCATTCCAGAATTAATGTAACTTTTCATTCTTTGCATTCACTTTGTCACTGTACTCCCTTCCATTATGTTATGAAAATAGAATTATAAATTATTTTATAGTGGAGACCTAAGCAGCCATTTGGCTTTTTAATAGAAAAGGCTCTTTGCCAACATAGTATAGTGAACTGGGTTTTTAAAGTCTAACCCTCTAATACCTAGAACTGAACTGTTCAATTTGAGCACTTGAAATGTACCTGGTTCAAATCAATATGTACAAGACATGTATACCAGATTTAACAACTAGTTAAAAAAAAGAGTTTTACATTAATAACTAATTATTTCATGTTGATTATATTGATTTATCAATGGAATTATAGTTTAGAGATATTGAGTTAAAATAAAATATATTATTAAAATGGCCGAGACCGGTTTGGCTCAATGGATAGAGTGTGGGCTTGGGGACTGAAGGAACCCGGGTTTGATTCCAGTCAAGGGCATGTACCTTGGCTGCGGGCATATCCCCAGTAGGGTGTGTGCAAGAGGCAGCTGATCGATGACTCTCTCTCATCGATGTTTCTAGCTCTCTATCTCTCTCTCTTCCTCTCTGTACAAAATCAATAAAATATATTATATATATATATATATATATATATTATTAAAATGAATTCAACCTTTTTATTTTAATCTTTTAAAATTTGACTACTGAGCCTTAGCTGGGCAGCTCAGTTGGTTAGAGCATCCTCCTAATACACCAAGGTTGTGGTTTGATCCCCAGTCAGAGCACATACAAGAATTAACCAATGAATGCATAAATAAGTGGAACAAAAAAAAAATGATGTTTTTCCTCAGTCTTCCTTTCTTTTCCTCTCTCTCTGAAATTAATAAATAGAAAGTTAATAAAATTTTTCTATCAGAAAATGGAAAATTATATATGTGGCTCACATTCTATTTCTGTCGGGCAATGCTAATTAAAATGGTACCGGTACTTGGTTACCTCCTTCTTAGGCTTTATTTGCCAGTGTATTGAGATATAAAACTAGCATGAGCCTAGGTAGGATCTTTAATTCAGCCATCTCCATTATTTCTAGAAATCAAGTATCAGTCCTGCCAGTGGAAAGAATCTGCAGGACACTTTGTTTCATAGAACAGTCAAAACATTGCTGCTGCCTCCCAGCAAATGACTACTTTCTTTCTTCCCTCAAAGGGCCCATGAACTGCTGGAGTTCGTTGGCATGGCTCTTATTTCACTGATGAAAACCTTCAGCCTCTGAGGAAAAGCATTGAGAATGGATTCTCTGCACTCAGAAACTCCTTTACTAAAATACTAGAACAAATCCCAGCAGTGAGGTAGACTACCCAGGGACACTTTCTTCAAATAGTGTGCTTGTGCCCAGCTGGTGTGGCTCAGTGGTTGAGCATCGACCAATGAACCGGGAGGTCATGGTTCAATTCCCAGGCAGGGCTCAAGCCTGGGTTATGGGTTCGGTCCCTAGTAGGGGGCATGCAGGAGACAGCCAATCAATGATTCCCTCTCATCAGTGATGTTTCTGTTTCTCTCTCCTTCTCCCCTCCTCTTTGAATCAATAACAATATTTCTTTAAAAAATAGTACACTTGTAACCAGGCTCTTTTCTTCAATTTAGGTGATGAAATCGGAATGCTGGAGGACATGGCTGTTGGCATTTCAGATTTGAAGAAAGTTGCATTTAAAATAATTGAAGCCAAATCCAATGATGTCTTGCCAGTTATAACGGGGAGACGGTAAGTGGTGCCCATTTTGCCAAGACCAAGCTTTGTTAGATATTTGAATTGGCTCTTGACGAAGGAGCCAAGAAGTAAGGTTTGCTCTGGAAATTGTTTTCTCTCCTTTCCTTGTTGGTGAGAAATAAATGTAGGTGACATGACAGGGGAAGATCTTTAAAAACTCCTAGAAGTCTCCTGACTGTAAATTGTACCAATAGTGAGGTGAGTATGGCATTGCTTCTTCGTGAAATATGAACACTTCAAAATACCAGCTTGCACGAAGAGAAGATTTTCCTCTTTATTGCTATCCAGTGTAAAGCTCTGGATATTTTTACTTTTGCTAGAATCATTTGGTTAATAGCATCATAATTCTTGAGATGACTTCATATTAAATTCTGTTAAAGGCAGCAACATTTTAGAAAAGATGTATTTCTATATCAGGGTCATATGCCACCATTTTTCTTAATTATTTTTGAGAATACACCCCCAGGCTGAGATTTCTGAGAATAATTTTAAATGAATAGCTTCAAAGGTCAGCATATGATAGGCAGAATATCGGAAATAATTAAGAAAATGATGCCGTGTAGTATAGAGCTCCAAACAGAAAAATTATATCCTATGGTAAATCATTTCAATCAGAAGTCCTCCAAGTTTTAACCATTCTGCTGTTAGCACTTTCCAATGTTTCCTGAGGGTTATTTGAAATTTGAGAACATCTTCTGAGCACAGTGAATAAATATGAGGGCACTATATATATATAGAGTCCTGCTCATGCTAGAGAGAGAGCAAGAGGAGACTAAGTAAGTACAAACTGATCATGTTTTCTTGACTTTAGTAAACGTATGATAATTTTGTGTGATGGATGACGAGATGGTTGAATGACAGGTGGCTACTTCTTATACATAAATAGCACATTCTCATAAAACTAAATATTTTATGTGCCAACTAATGCTTAATTTACCATTCATTGGAAGAAAGAGGAGTTAAATTGCTCATGCGCATACCTGGAAAATAGTACCACTCTATAATATTATAAAGATGACTATCAAAAGGGAGAAACAGATATTTCTATGAGGGAAAATTTGTATGAGGGAAGCTTACCAAGCCATCTTATATAGACAGAGAACAGGATGCTGTTTCTGAAGGGGTTCTTTAGGCTGTATCTAAATTCAGAAGTCTACATACAGTTGTGGACTTCTAGAGTGGCTAAGTGCACAGCTTGGCAGATCCTCTCTTCAGAAAGCAACATTACAAAAGGTCAGAATTGTCCAAGACTGTCCTCTTAGGACTAAGGGAGTAATGCACACACAGATGTAGAAGCATTCATTCATGGAAAACTCGTGAGCATTGGGATAGGACAGTTGGAGTCTGTGGCCTTTTTGCCAAGGTTGCTCCCAGCAACCCCAGCTCTGTTTGCACAACATTACCCGTGAGGAAGATAGCCCATGAAAACCAGCACTTTCATTACCAGAGGAGAGGGTTGACAGTTTGGATTGGAAAACAGAAAGAAAGTACACTTCTGAAAAGTTGTCAGAAACAGTGGTGATTTAGATAATTTTATTCACAATAGCATCAAAAAGGAATAATTACATGGGACTAAATTGAACCAAGTAGTCCAAGAACTGTACACAGAACACACAAAACACAGCTTAGAGAAATTAATAAGATTCAGTAAGTAGAAAGACAGTCCCTGTTCACAAATTAGAATTCTCTATCTTGTTTAAATGGCAATTCCCCACAAATTGAAATCTTGGTTGTAATATTTTGCAGAAATTGGCAATCCAATTCTAAACTTTACATGAAAATACAAAGAACCCATAGAACCAAAAACAATTTTATTAAAGAAGAACAAACTTGGAGGACTTACACTTACTGTTTTCAAAACTAACTATAAAGCTACAATAATCAAGACCATATACTACTGGCATAAGTATATACATATAGATCAGTGGAACAGAATGTAGAGTCCAGAAATAAATTATTATCTTTAGGGTCAGTCAATTTCAACAAAGATGCCAAAACAAATCAATGGAGGATCTTTTCCAAAAATGTTGCTGCAACAATTGGCTAGCCACATGCATAGGAGAAACTACAGAGATTTCAGAGATTCTTTGATTGTCCTGCGTTTGCTTCGCAAAAAACATGTGTTACAATCCCAGCAGTCTATATAGTCCTGGAATCACATGGATTTTCCTAAATTCTGGGTAAAACTCTCTATACAATAGGTCCTCGGGTTACATCGGAGATAACATGATTTTCTCTAAGTCGGAACCCACCTACATAAGCACCTACGTCACTCACATGGTGCACATGCACAGCAGTAATGAAGTGACACAGTAAAAAAATGAAATAAAAGATAACATTCCTGACCTTTACTTGTGGTAAATTAATAATAAAAACCATACAGCACATATGCACATACATTGAAATGATGGAACTTTTTTTTTTTTATAAATAAATGGGAGATGGCAAAGTAACCACGAAACGACGTGCGTCGAGTCCAATGTAACCTGAGGACTGCCTGTATTTCTGTATTCAGTTCACACTGCATCACAAGATGTCAGTTTCAAAATATACAAGTAGATATTCATGGTGACCATATTTTATAATCCTAATTTAAATTTTCAACACTAAACACTATGGCTAGTTTTTTAATGTTTATTGTTAAAAGCATTACATATGTCCGCTTCTTTTCCCCATTGATCCCTTCTAGCCCACCCCACCCCCTGCCCCAGGCCTTCACCACACTATTGTCAGTATCCACGGGTGATGCATATATACATACAAGTTCTTTGGTTGATCTCTTCCCACCCACCCTCTGAGGTTGGACCGTCTGTTAGGAATATTTTTAATGAAACTTTCCAGTTTCCAAAAATATGTACCTATGATATGCCAATGTTGCAAAATGATAAGGAACTCCAGTGGTTAGCCTTAAATAATGAAACTATTACATTTGCATCCGGCCATCACAAAGGGGGAGGTTCATCAATAATAATATCAGGTCATAATTGTTCAAAAGGTTATAAATTATTTGGCTTCTTGGATTCACTATGTTAAGAAATGTACCATGAATTACTTTGTTGTTCTTGATATTCGTTGGGTTTTAAAAATAACTAAATCAATAAAACAAATATTGAGGTTCTTATGCACATACCACTGATACACAACAATGAACTGAAACACTCTTCCTTTCCTAAAGGAACTCAATAACTGAGAGAAATCAAACATGTAAACAATCCTTTATGCCAAGTAATTTAGTACAGAAGTGAATGCAACCAGTATTGAATGAATTAATAACAGAAAATAAGCAGATAGCAGCCAAAAACCTACACCAGTGCTGTATTCCAACTGTTTTATTGTTTGTTTCCAATGGATCTAAAGTAACACGCTTCCTCTTCTTTCCCTTCACGTGCCTCAGTGAGCATTACGTGGTGGAGGTGAAGCTTCCAGCCAGGCTGTTTGAGGCTCTACCTTTGCAGATTAAAGAAGGGCAGTTACTTCATGTGCATCCTGTACTTTTTAATGTCGGAATCAATGAACAGCAAACTCTTGCTGAGAGGTAAGCTTCAGGTATAAAATTGATATTCAGGTTTTCTTTCTATTTATTTTTAATTTCTTTTCAATTATCATTTATATTAAACTAGAGGCCTGATGCACATAATTCGTGCAAGGGCTGGCTGCCTCCATGGGGACATGGCCCTCTGCCCCCTTCTCCTCGCCCTCCTCCCCCACTCCCACCCCCGCTGGCGCTGGGGCACATGAGGGAGTAACATCAGCCCTTGTGGGCCATTGTGTCATCACACTAAGCAGTGCCATGTCATCTAACAAGTGTGAGGCGGTGGCCACCTCTGCCTCAGGCCCCACCACTGCAGCTTTGTCTGGAAGGTCTTCCTAAAGGATGTCCAGTCTAATTAGCATATTAGGCTTTTATTATTATAGATATTATTTGGTATTAGTTTCAAGTGTATAGTGGTTAGACAATCATATATTTTACAAAGTGTTTGCCCTGATATTTCCAGTACCTACTTGGCACCATACAAAGTTGTTACAATATTACTAACTATATTCCCTTTGGTGTGCTTTACATCCCCATGATTATTTTGTGACTCCCAATCTGTACTTCTCAATCCCTTCACCTTTTTTACTCAGTCTGCCAACCCCCTTTCCGCTGGCAGTCCTCAGTATGTTCTCTGTGTAAGTCCGTTTCTGTTACAGAGAGACAAGCAGGTTTTTGGTTAAAACCAGGGATGGGGGATCTCTGGCTCATGGGCCATAGAAGGCCTATAAAAATCACTTGGCCAGGCACTGCCAAGGCATTAGGGTATGAGTTCATTAAATATATGACCAAATATAGTGGGCTAATTTTTTAAGTTAAATTTTTGTATGTCTTTTGAATGATGTTATAAATACCATATTTAAATGGCCTTTGGCAGAGAAAAGGTACCCCGCCACTAATTTAAACCTAGGAAATGTTTATTGAAAACACAACATCTGTGATATACATGTAGAAAGTTTTATCTCAAGAGAGAGGCAGAAGAGTACCAGTGCAGAGGGTATAGGCCTTCACAGAATAGACAGGAAAAAATACTGGCCCAACTACTCCCCGGCAGGTTGGAGGGCTCTGCATGTGCCCTTGTCAGCGTTTGTAAGTCTGCACACAGCCCAGAGTCCAGTGCTGGACTGCTGGGCCTCTCCTCAAGTCTCGTGAGTAAAGAGGAAGATTGGTGAGATAAAAAGAAAGAAGAAAGTTATCTATACCTCAGAGATACAGTCCTGCAGAGGTGGGGAGATTAATATTAAGTGAATATCAGTTATGTACAAGAACAGGGGCTAGTGTTTTAGACTTGATATTTCATTCAAAATTTACATTTGATGATTATGAGAATATTTTGGTGTGTCAAAGGGATGGATGGAATGACTCAGGGCCAGTGGTGACTGGAATGTGTTTGAAATCACCATTGTGCAATGTTGCTGAAAAAAAGGAGACTTCTGCCCTGGCCAGTGTGGCTCAGTTGGTTGGGCATTGTCCAGTGTACTGTGACGACATTACTGGTTCCATTTCATGCCCATGCTGTGGGGTCTATCCCCAGTAGGAGTCATGCAGGAGGCCCTGATCAATGTTAAACTCTCACATCAATGTTTCTCTCTCTTCTCCTTCTCTCTCTCTCTCTCTCTCTCTCTCTCTCTCTCTCTCTCTCTCTCTCTCTCTCTCAAAGGTGACTCCTTTAGCCATCTATTTAAAAAGGAAAGATAAAATGTGTTCCTTTCAGGTGCTATTTTATGACTTATTACTGTTTTCTTTTTTTCTCTTTTTAGGTTTGGAGATGTTTCTTTGCAAGAAAGTATTAATCAGGAAAATTTTGAACTTCTAAAAGAATATTACACGATATTTATGGAAAAGATGCCTCCTGATTGTAAGTCAGAGTTATAGAAAAACAACAGTAATAATTGCTTGATTATAAATCTTCAGAAGAGGTCGGATATAGAGGTCAATGGAAGAAAGAAGCATGTGCTGGTGATGTGAGAGCAATTTTGAAATTTCTGAACCAAAATAGCTGATTGCCAAGGTGGCATGGTCCACACCTGCCTGTTGCCCTGATTGCTCTCTTGAATGTGTCTAGCTGGTCATGCTGGTCATTGTCAGTGACAATGAGCAATGCCAAAAGTGAAAATAAGGAACTTATCATTAGAAATCTCAGTTGAGTCCAATATAAATTTTGTGTCATTTTTAACCATGTAAAAAACTTATAAAAGGTTTGGGTTGTTTTTTATTTTATTTTTATTTATAAGCCACATCATGTATATCCAAGGAGAAAATCATATAGACTACAACTTTATTGGGAGTATAAAATGATGTAAAATAAGGAACCAGTTTAACACATATACTTACTGCAATATTTATGTGAAAAACTGTTAAGGCATTTAAGCCTATAGAAATTTGTTTCACACTTGTGGTTTCTTTCTTTCTTTCTTTCTTTCTTTCTTTCTTTCTTTCTTTCTTTCTTTCTTTCTTTCTTTCTTTCTCTCTTTCTCTCTTTATCTCTTTCTCTCTTTCTTTATCTCTTTCTCTCTTTCTTTATTTCTTTCTCTCTTTCTTTCATTCTTTCTTTCTTTCTTTTTCTTTCTTTCTATTGTTCAGTTCCACAGTTCTTTTTCCCCATAAAATTAAACACATATAATTTGAACAGTCCAAAGTCAGATAATTAAGAATTTTTGGAGTTCATCTATAAGTAGTATAAATATGTTGAGATATTGAGGTATTCATAATGATAAGATACTAAGTTTTAATAAAGTAAGAAATATTTTCATATTTTTAACCAAAAGCTGTAATAAAAGTCTACCTGTCACTGAATCACTCACACTCTGTTCACTGGTCTCTATTCTGACACTTAGCTTGAACCATCTTAGGTGGTGAAGTGTTTAGATCTTTTCATAACATAGTGACTCTTGACTTAAAATGTCATAATGGCATAGGTATATCCATGCATATATGTATAGTTAGAAAACTCCACCTGCAGTTTTATTTCATATAAAACATTTTTAATGCCGAATGAAATTTAGTAGAGGGAAATGCTTTGGCAGACAGCATACTTATTTGTTAATTATTTGAAAACAATAATATAAAAAAGCTACTTTGCATTAGTAAATAATGGCAAAAGGGGTTTATTTGAGCCAGGTATGGCGATCCTAAGAATGGAAAAACTACTTCCTATATGTTGTCTTCATCTGAATTAAGAAGTAAATATCTCAAGTTGGTGCCGGAACTGTTGACAACGGGGAGGTCTGTTTGCTCTGCCTGGGTACTGTGTGCTATGGATTTCTTTTTCCACATCTTTGAATAGTGATGTAGCTCTCAGGCAGTGGTTCTCTCTGCTTTGACTCAAAGGCACACTAAACCATCAGGACCTACTTCCCTTCACATCCTGCCTGGCCTCTTTGATCAACTGCAGAAACTCTGGTGGGGCAGATATGAGTGCTTTCCTCTCTTCTTGCTCTAATATTCCCATTGGGTTGCATGATCTCAGAAACATTTCAAGACCCCTTTCATGCCCACCTAAATTATTGAGACACCTAAATTTGGGGTTAGCAAATAAAATAAAATAAAATAAAGCACTTCTATAAATCACTAGCACAAACTATTCTATGTGTTAGAGTCACCATCTGCTTTATGATTTGGAGCAAATGTGATAGTGATTTGATTGGATGAAATGCTTCTTTCTCTACCCTTTAAATGAGGAGTAAGAAAGTATTAGTTTATCATCTCAGACCTCTCTGTTGTCTCTTGATAATGTCCATTTCTTGCACTTTTCCCAAACAAAGGAGGAGGGTATTGTCATCCAGACCTGCTGGAATGCTTCCGCTAGTCGAGTGCTGTGTCAGCCCTATAAAGGAGGGCTGCCTGGCCCTGTGAGCTAAGAAGAAAAAATACTGAGGGCCCTTTGTGACCTGAATATTGTAAACTATTCCTGCCCAATATGTAATTGGTTTAGTGGCTCCGCAATATTAAAATGATTTCCCCCAACCCATTTCATTACTCTGCCACTCCTGGTGTTGTCACTGTCCCTTTGTGACAAGGATGGCTGCCGTGAACTATTCCCATGCTCAACCATAGGGCTTTTCTTTCCCTTTGCATTTTACAGGCTCCAGAGCCTCACTCAGCTGGAACATCACAGATCACTTGCATACCCCTGAAACCATTGTCCAGGTCAGAGACAAGTTCTGACTGGCTTGGATTTAGATGCACATCCCTGAATTAGTCCTGATTTCAAGGGTGATGGTTTTTTATCGATTGACTTCAGAGTGAGAACATAATTGATTCCATGTAGATTTTATGCCTGCTATGCAGTGGGGAAAAGAGTGGAACTGGTGCTGGGATTCATTTCCATTTCATCTCAGACTCTGACAACGTAAAGGGATTGACAATGAGGGGATGAGGCTACTGCATTGGCCTTATTGGTGTTACAGTTAGATCAGCTGGGAGTTCACAATCCTATTCCTGTTCATTATTCACCACCCTGTCTTTGATTCAGGTCAGTGTCAGATTCAGAACTCTTGTTGAAGAAGCCCTATTTGACAAAGCAAGGAGAAAGGGTGTACTCCAAAGTGCACATATACTTGGCTGGTCTGTTCCATTGGGAGGGTGTGGGAGGCAGTCACTGGGTTTGTGAATGTTCTTGATCATGATCATGGTGTGCACCTGTGTGTGTGTAAGAGAACGTTTTCTGCTTCGGATAAATTCTGAGAAGCTTGGCATCCTATCCAAGGCTATGAACTGTTTTAAGAGCTATTAATGTTTTCTTCTGTTTTTCAGAGTTGACACAGAATTTAATGATGTAGCCTCTTTTGCCAAGACTTTTATTAATTGTTTTCCACTGCAAGTCAATGAAACTTGACAGGGTTCTTGTCCTTATTTTGCAGCTGAGACAGAGGGTTAAGCAACTTGCCCATGACCACACATCAAAGCTGGGGCAGATTTGGCACTGGAAATCACTTTCCTGGAATTTTGGCTGGGTGCTTTCTTTAAAAACAATTATGAAAGTTTAATTCAATCAAACAAAAAACAGATCATCAAATAACAAACACTAGGGAACTCGTCCTTCAGCCTCACAGATTTTGTAGGAAAGAAATATTTTCAGTTCAAGGAGAAACCCTGTTTGGTTTTCATCTCTAACCTTCCTGCCTCTGAGCAAATCAATTCCTTGAATTTGGTGTTTTGTATTCTTGTACACATTCTTACTCCAAATGTATGTAACCATAGAAAATATGGTACAGCTTTGCACATTTATATTATTGCTGTTATATGAATCCTGCAATAATTTGCGATTTTTACTCAGAAGGTTTTGTATATATTCATGATGATACATAAGCACTTATTCATTTTACCTATATATTACATTGCAGCACTATATAACAGTTTACTGTTTTCTCTTTGAAATTTAAAATATTTTTAAATATTAAATAATAAAGCTGTGGATATTTTTTTACTTTCACCTTTTGTACTACATTCTTCAACCCCATTTGAATAGAGAATACTCCTGTGGAGATAGGCATTGAGATTTGTTGCTCTAAGTTTGGTGTTAGAGAGAGTAGCAAAAAGCAAAATTTATTGGCTATGTTTACATTTGAGGAGACTGATTTTCAGTCTAAAACTAATACATTTTCTATGGATACCATGGTTTTCAGTGGCTATATCAGGTTCTATTATTATATCTTGATAGCTCTTCTATTAATCTACAAACTACTCATTACTTATGATACTACTTTCATGAATCAGATCTGTGGCTTGCAAGATTTTTGTCATGTTGAAAAAACTTGGCAGCAAGTAAAGTGTTGGATTGATAGGAATGTGCTCTGAATAAGGCAAGTTTTGTCATGACAGGAATAGAAATAGTGACTTGAAAACTGTAAGCACATCAAAATGATTCCTTCTAAAAAGCATGCAATGGGGAGAGTGGGTAAAATGATAAGCAACATCACGTCCATCTATGCTAGAGCACTATCCTTATGGGCAAAGGATAGCCATTTGGTTTGTATTTAGGAGCAGTATGGTTGGTTTAAAATGGCTGATTAAAAAAAAAAACCCTCCATTTCAACAATGAAACTAAATTATTTTGAAAAATCATTATGCTTTATTCTGGAGTCTCAGAATTCTGAAGAAGCTGGTCCATTGTGTTAAGACGATTGCTTTTTAATAACCAAAAGTCAATTGTGATGACACTAGCACAGACTTGGGAAAAATTAATCACTGGCATAGTAGTTGGAAGACTAGGTTTTTTTTTATTTGACTCTGCCTCTGACTGTGAACCTTGTGGAAAAAAAAATCACCTATGTATCTTGACATAGGTTGCCTTAAATCAGTGTTTTGCAGAATTTTTATATTTATCCTATATAATCTCTTGATTCAGACTAGCTATTCAGTAATAACAATGGAAGGTTATATCCATGTATGCCATGCTTTGATTGAAGCAGTCATCATCATTAAGAATGTTTTTCTTGTCCTGGTCAATGTGGCTCAGATGGTTGGAACTTCATCCCATACACGAAGAGGTGGTGGGTTTGGTTTCCAATTGGCGTTTCTCTCTCTCCCTCTCCCTTCTTATCTCTCTTAAGTCAATTTAAAAAAAAAGAATGTTTTTCTTATTAGTATAATAGGATTATAAGACTAGCTGACATTACACACAATTATACAGAATAGAGAAACTGAGTCATATTAAGTAAAGAACAAAACTAGAGGATTAATAAGTATGATTATCCTTACATAGTCTGCTCCAAATAACGTTTGTTGTTATAGATTGCATTTGCAAATATATTGAGAAAAATTTTGAGAGCAGCTTAATACTGTTTCTTTTTCCTCTCCTTTTTTTCCCCAGACATTTCACATTTTCATGAACAAAATGATTTAAAAGGATTACTAGAAAATCTCCATCAAAATATCCAAGCCAAAAAGAGGAAGAATGTAGAAATCATGTGGCTAGCTGCAACGGTAAGCTCTGTCCTGCCAAACCTTACTCGCTGTCACCATGAAGACCAGCAAGCAATATTGGGTATCTGCTAGATTGGGGCCAGTGTTTGCACTCTGAGTTACCAGATGTCATCCTCCATTGTCTGGGAGATAAAGCATTGTCATAGTGCTACCAGTAGACTAGAACACAAATTGGAAGAAGATGAACTGAATGAGAAAGAATCCTTCCCATTGACTTTTCTCACAAATCTTGGATATGTTTGACACTTTGAGGCTAAAAGGAAGTGGCTGTAATTTTCCTGATGTTGCATGATTCAGCCCAGGTCATGCTCTAGAGGCGTATGATTTCAACAGAATGTAGTTATCAGATCTCTGACTTACAGCCAGTAAGGCTCCTGGACATATTGTTCAATTAATGAGTTTGTAAATGTGTTTGTTAATTTAGATATTGGCATAGAATGTATTACTGGCAGATTGCTCTCAGGGTAATGAGCTATATAAGGTATGGTTCTTTCTCAGTTAATGGCACCCTCAGGGTAGAAGAGCTTCCTGTTTTCCCAACCCAGATTCCTACTAGAGTGAGCTAGAGAATCTTGCCTGTGGTTTGCAAGCTCTTATCTGGCAATCATTTCAGGCATAGCTCTGATAAACTTACAAATTTTGCTAAGCATTCAGACCCTAAGGAATGGATCTTTTCATCAGGAAAGGCAAACCTTGAAGATCTCTATGATGAATTCCATGTTTGTAGTTATTCATAGCATTATTCCTGTAATTTGGAGTTAGGTTAACCCAACAGCTACCATACTCTATTCATTCACCAACCATAGTGTTTCAGACAGAGCCTTTCCTCCTACTGTCAGTGCTTATGTTATAATCCAATATTATTTCCTCTCTTCTGTGGAAAAAGAATGGCTAATTTACCGTAAGTTGCTATATAAAATAATTTACCAAGAGCAAGGCAGAGGAAAGCAGCTTTAGTTTCCCTTCATGACCCCTTGGAGCCCCAGGGAAGAACTTCAAAGGTAACAATATGAAACATGGCTTTCAGGCAGCTCATTTACACTGGTCCCATTTAGCACCGTAGTGCATTACAGGAAGGTTGTTTTAATAGTTCTTTCCCCAGTGTGACTGCTCTTTGTATCTTCAAACACTACTGTGGTTGTTAATTCTCACAAAAAGTTCACAAAGGCAGATTGTAAGTTATTTTTGCACTTTCCCTAATAACATAATAGCGTGAAGGAAGTCTGATAATTTACCACTTTATCTTGGAGACAGATACATGTCATTATATACATACCATGCAGTTATATAAATAGGAAAGTGAAGTATGCACACATGCAAACGCAAATGTATATTTTTCTTAGTATATGTACTTTCCCATTTGAATATATAAAAATGGTTTTCCCATTAATTTTGTTCATTTATTAAATATTTTTCTAAAATGCATATACTGGCCAAATATGGCTTACTTGCAAAGTCCCATTGTGAGAAAATACCTACCTTGATAAATACACATATGCACAGTGTGTAAAGTTAGCATTCTGTGGGAATATTAACTTTATTATTAATAACGTATCTGTAGGCTGATATCTCAGTTTTAATATCATATAAACCAAGGGCCATGATAATACTCTTAAAATGAAGAAATATAGGAATCCCTTTTGACATTTTCAAAAAAGCTTTTGCTTCTGCCTCTATTTCCTTTCCCCCTTCTATGAATCTATTGATGAAAATACTGCTTTTGATAAACTTTAACATTCTAATTGAAAAAGACAAAGTTATTGGTTTTATCTTAACTAAATTTTTAAAAATAAAAATGAGAATATGAAGACCAAAATATTTTTATTTTAAAAAATTAGAATCTGGAGATCAAATGCCAATCAGATGTGTTAAATTAAGCACATAGAGTTGAAAAGGTTGTAGAAATGCAGCCTGTTTACTCTGATGAAATAGCCCTGCTTTCTTTCCATTTTAAATTTAGAACACTCTGTATCCTTTGTAGGATGTCACAAAAAACAGTGATAATAGAGTATTTGAAAATTTATTCTTTTAAAAAATTTCATATCTGATAAGTAGATAGCAAGGTTTATATTTTATTAGTATGAATATAGTCAACCTGTTATTTTATATTAAAACTTTTGAAATATTATTTATTCGAAAGGATTAGAATTCTCTAGATGGAAAAGTATTGTATGGTGAAATCATGCTTTCACATTTCTCTAGTCACTTCTATTGTAAATAATGAGAAAGTACCAAAGATCTAATAAGGACTGGTAAATCCTAGGCTAAGAATCACCATTAAAATATGCTATAAAGCTGAAACTGGTTTGGCTCAGTGGATAGAGTGTCGGTCTGCGAACTGAAGGGTCCCAGGTTCGGTTCCGGTCAAGGGCATGTACCTTGGTTGCGGGCACATCCCTGGCAGGGGGTGTGCAGAAGGCAGCTAGTCGATGTTTCTCTCTCATCGACATTTCTAGCTCTCTATCTCTCTTCCTTCCTCTCTGTGGAAAACCAATAAAATATATTTTAAAAAATATGTGGTATAAAGCCTTGATAAACTGTATTATTATATCCTCTTCTCAAAACAGGCAACCGTTAAGGCCTCCTTGATGGAAGATAATAAAGCAGGCCTATATTATGTCACATGAGATTTATTTTGACTACACATTGATGCTAAAGTTGATTGTTGGTATCTGGTATCAGGGTCCTACTAAGGGATATGGAAAAGGATGGAATGATTCACTTGTTAACCATGAGGTGATGAAAAAAGAAATTATTGCTTCTCCTTATTTATGTCAGAATCACAAAAAGAAGGAATTATTAATACATATAAAAACAGGATAGAGTGGAAATTAATGACTTAATTCTTAGAGGTAGAATGACTTGCATTAGCATCCTGGCTGGACAGTGTTGTACGCAGTTACTTAACCTCTCCAAATCTCAATGTCCTCGCCTTTAAAATGAGAATAATTATATATCTTCCTCCAGGGTTCATGTGAAGTTAATTAAATTTCAAATCTGTATGAAATGTATTAGCAAGGTATCTGGTACCCAGTAGATGTGCAATTAGCAGTGGCTATGGGGGGGAGGGGTGTTCTTATTCTTATTAGTTGTATTGATAAGTGATTAGTGGTTCCATCATCTGCTGTGCTGGTACCATGTAGATGTTTGAAATTTCAAACATTAAAACCAAGACTGGCAAAGGGTGCTTAAAAGTAAGACAACATTAGTTATTTAGGATTCAAATCAAGTGTCGGATCCCCTTCACAATTAAGGTGTTGTACCTAAGCTGCAATGGTATGGTTATCCACTGCAGCTGGACTTCCTTCCAGGAAGCATTGCTGCCTCTGTTGGATATTGACCATCCCATGTGGCTTCAGCAGTTCCATGCCTCACACCATACAAAGAACTATGTGAAGTCTATTCCACTAGCTTTTGAAACCCCCAGGTGTGGTTTTACATTCAATAGGGCAGATCGAACCAACCAACTCACATATTAGCATAAATTTAATGTGTTGAGACAAGAAGAGTTTAGGAGTCCCACCCTTGTAGAGTAACCAACCACGGAACAATAAATGGCTTATACCTCTGTGTTACAGATTTGTCGTAAACTAAATGGTATTCGTTTCACCTGCTGTAAAAGTGCCAAAGACAGGACATCGATGTCAGTGACACTTGAGCAGTGCTCCATCCTGAGAGACGAGCACCAGCTGCACAAGGACTTCTTCATCCGCGCACTGGACTGCATGAGAAGGTATCCATGGATCTTTCACTTTCTTTCTTTTAAAATCATTTTAAGGCTTTTGTTGTTCTTTTGTTTGTTTGTTTGTTTGTTTGCTTTCCAAATGCATATTTTACTGAAAAACTAACCACTTAATAACTTCACTGCATTTCCATGGCTTATCAATCATGATATGAAAGATAATATACTTTCAAATATTCCTCAGATTCATTTTAGGCAGTAGAAGAGAATATGGCTAAATTTTGATAACATGCATGGAGGTTCTATTTCATTAACTCATTTAAACCTAAGTGAACAGGCTCTGTTCTTTTCTTTTCGTTTCATATATAACACTTGAAGGGGCCAGTTTCTTTATATCAATAAAACACAGCCATTATAAAAGAAAACCTTTCCAAATTGCAACTAACAGGTGATCTTCCCATGGGTAGCAGGGTTTACAGGTGGGTAGCTCCTTCCTAAAATCATTTTGATATCACTCATCATGAAGAAGGGAGGACACTGGTACGTTAAAATAGAGAAGTCACATTGTTACTCTGCTGGCATTTAAAATGCAGTGCCTGAAGTCATGTTTCTTGATTCATTTCCACAGTAATTAAATCTAAAGTCAAAGCCATAATGGGAAGGGAAAAGTACCCCATTCACTATGTCTGTCAGCAAGGACACACATTAATTAAAAAGTTAAACGCAAGAGTCTCTTTGCTGCAGACACTGGTTCAGAAGCACACCAGGAAGCGTGGGACAGGCTCCTTGTTCCCAGGAAGGAATGCCATTGATCCTCTGGACAGGGCTGCTTCAGAGCTGCCATGTCATTAGCTTCTCCTTTGCTTTTAACTGCTGTAGTCTTCCAGTGGAGGCTTTGCCGCTTTCTGTGCCTATCTGTTTTCCCCACTAATGAGAGAGGTTTCAGAAGGCCTCGATTTCACCCCATTCCATGTCTCCTGGCATTTCCATTGTTCGGGGGAATTCTATCATAATTTTTTGATAGATGTAGGAGGATGTCTTAGAGGCCTGGCATGAACATCTGAGCCATATGAAACACATTGGGTTGACAAAAAAAAATTTTTTTTAAATAATCTCTCTTTTCAAAAATAATATGCCAGTACTAATGGGGGAAATTCAGAATCAGAGTATGAAACCATCTAAAGTGCATAACAAGAATAAATGTGTCACTCTGGATGAGCCAAGGGCTAGAGGGAATAACAGAAACACGGGATGTTATAGACCAGAGACACTGAAGGACTACAGTGATTCAACCAACATAAATTATCTGGAAGGGGAAATTGTTACTTATTTAAAGTGACAGTAATGGTTATTTTAAACAGTGTTTCCCAGTGTCCAGGGTGTTTGGGAAGGGAGAGGATTTACAAAGCCTCTCTCTTTGTCATGTGGGGAGCGCCACCCTCCAGTGACTTTAAAAAGCACATCAGGATCACTGTTTTGAAGCAGTTTAATTTTCATAGTTTTGAATGTATTGAAGTTTTTTTTTTAAATAGCTGTTGTAATTTATTTTACCTGTGAATTATTCTAACCACCCTTCAAGCTATTTAGTCTATTTGTTTAGCATTTACCAAGGTTATAAGATCATTGCTTCTGACTTTTATTTTTCCTCATCTTATATTTTCCCATTTTATTGTTTAACATGGTAAAAGTTTCAAATTATTATATATAGATGAGCAAAACATTGCTGGTAAAGAGAAATGAAACTTCATCTACCTGCTTTTTCAGAAACCCCACGCCAGGAATAAGCTCCATGAAAAATGGTATTTCTGTTTTCCTTTGCTCACTGCAGTAAGGCCGTACCTAAAACAATGCCTAGTGATAGCGGGTTCTCAATAAGTATACTATGAATGAATGAAAAATGAATGAATGAAGTTTAGATTATATGTATTAGGAAGTTTTGTATGCACATAGACATTTGGAATTAAACACATCAAATTATCTTTCAATTCTGTCATATTTAATAAGCAAAAAGTTCATTAGATGAAAGTAAGAATTTTGGAGAAGTTATGATACAAAAGTAAAACAAACAGGCTACAGATGGCCTGCCTTAAGTCGCAGTCTGGATCCACCCTTTGTACAGTGTTCAAATGTTCATTCTCTATTTTCCTTGCAGCTGCATACTCCCGACATGAGCCTCTAGTTACAGTCTGTTTGTCTGGAATGGAAGAATAAGACAGTTTTCTCCATATTAGAAAGTTAGCAAGGTGCCTGGCTAGATCTGACTCTGTAAGGAACTCTTAGTAGTTGCCTATATTGCCAGACCAAAACAGTGATTCTCAACCCTCATTGCCCATTTGAAACCTTGGAGGCTGGTGGTGAATGGTAGGTGCCCCACCACAGACTAGCTTCTGGGATGGAGCCAAGGCGGAAACCACCTGAATAAGTCGGCCTCTCTTAAACCTGAAGCCCTTCAGTAACTGATTTTAATGGCTTTGCGGTAAGACTATAAGCCCAGTCTCCATTCCCTTTCTTTGCATTATGAGGAGTATGTGTATTGTCAAATTCCCCCTTAATCATCTACAGCAGAAATTTAGAACATGGTGGCTGCATAATCAGCAGATATTTTTCTTAAAGAAAGAGAGAATGCAGTGCCAGCATACAATTTTCAGTTACGAACTCTCCAGGGAATGCCATCTTGTCCAAGTGCGTTTGCAAAAAACATTTTCGTAGGAATTTTAAAACATATTTGATTAATAAATGATTAGGATTGGAGTTAAAATACAAAATTTGAATGGAGTGTAAAATGTTATGTTTTATCCCAAAATAATTGTGTTGGGAAATGTAATTGGCACTAAAAAGTAAATTAAAATGAACACGCCGGTGCACAGTTATTTCCTTTGCAGGAAGTCTTGCATTTTGTGTTTATACAGTGTAACATGTGACACCATATTCCTTAGTTGTCTGCCTGTGACTTTTATTTTCCTCAAGCTACATTACGCTGCAATCTGTCATTCTTATAATGGCTGCTTAAAATGAAGATAGCTGATATGTCATTAGTGAAATTAATCAGGGAACATTATAGCCTATGACATATTTATCACCCTTAAGATACAGGGCTTTAATCATTCTATTTTAGTAAACACTTAAGTCATAGGAGAGAGACTAAAAGGCCCATCAGCACTATTGAATTTTATTATCTTTGTTGAATGTCATGTTCTCAACATGTTGCACCTGACATTTTTATGTTGGGGGAGCATAATTTACGTAACGCTCTGTTTTATAAATAAGTGACCCTTTACCAGTTGATATCAGTAAAGGTTTTATGTTTTTATTTCTCATAGCTTCTTTGTTGATATCACTTTTGACTTATGTAATTCATTTGTGTTGAAATAGAAAAATGTATTTCTTCTTTCCTTAGTCTTATCTCCACTTCAGCTTATTTTTCTTTGCTTTTGTTTGATTGCACTAGACAGAGAAGAGCTGCTATTTTATTTTTCAGATTACTCTTTATTTCAAATATTGAAGTGAATAATAAGCATCATAGACACAGGTAATGGAAGCTTCCGGTTATTTCTTGACTTCTTGAAAGGGATGTGATTGGATAGAACAGCATTAGCAGGAACAGTTTTTCCATTATCACTGTTTTCTCTTCCCTCGAGAGTTTCAGTGGTGTGTTTGCTGCGTTGCTTTAGTTCATATCTGTGACAAATAACAGTAATAAGACCAAATGGAGTCACCGTCATCTTAGGGCAGCTAATAATTACATGAAAACTGACCCCATTTAGGATGTTTTTGCTTCAGCTAACACGGAGGTAAAAGATACTGCAAAGAATACACTTCTTTAGGAATCATATTGGAGCAAGTAACTGTTAACAGGAGAGCCCACCAACTGATCTTGCAGGAGTGATTAAAATAATATGCAACAAACTTTCACCTTCCAGAACTAAATGTATATTTAGTAATTTTAAGAATTTTCTGCATACATTTATGTTTGTCATATTATTTTACTACAAAAAACAACAAAAAAACAAACAAAAAAAACTGGTTTCACCATGGCTTGTGTGGCTCATTCAGTTGGGCATTGTTCTGTGCACCAAAAGGTTACCAGTTCGATTCCTGATCAGGACACATGCTTGCAGGCTTGATCTCCAGAAGGGACATGCAGAAGGCAGCCAGTGGATGTTTCACTCTCACATTGATGTTTTTCTCTCTCTCCCTCACCTGCTTCCTAAAAACTAAATAAAATATTATTTTAAAAGTAGTGGTTTTGAGGTTGGTTTCTTCTCCTTAAGTTATTTGGTGTAGAATATTTGTTTTCTAAGTATTAGTAACTGAAGACCTTGTATCAAGCATGTCATCCAGAGCAGCTACCAACTTTTATGCACCATTCCAAATAAGTCATTTCTTTCCATTCTTGAAATTACTGAGGACCTAGACATGTAAGTGTATAAAACATATGTTGTTTATTCAATTCAATGAAATAAAATATAAATAAAAATGAAGCTAGTTAAAATTTGCCACAAACACAGGCTTTCAACATCAGGAAAACCTGGGGTTAAAAATCCATATTGAAACACTTATCTCTGCAGCTTCAGTTTTCCAATCTGTTGATTAGGATAACAATATCTTTCTGTTCTGTAGGTGTTGTCCAATGAGGTCACTTATTTAAAGGCTCTGTGCCCAGGTGCTCTGCTTAATCAATGTTACTCATGCTCCTCAGGCTGTCCCCATCTCTGTCTATCCTGAGCATTCTTCCCTGTCCCATGCTTCTCTGTAAGTAAGTACCTCTTCTGAAACTCCTAAAATTGAGGAATTTCCCTGGTCTTCAATGTCTGAGAAGAAAAGTCCCAGGATTAACACTTGGTTTCTAAAAGGCTTAAACTATCCATGATTATGTGAGAGAAGGTCTGGGAATTAAGGAGTAACCTGAGCTTGAAACATGGGGTTATCTGTGGTCCACAGATAACAGGGCCTTCCCACTCATGCAGTGGAACTTGTGGGTGTCCAGTTCTTGAGTGTCCACAGACTTCATTGGCAATTTAGGATATCCACTAAATAACAAGTCAGGAACT